CCCCGCGACCCCCCCGTTCAGACCCAGGGGCAATTAGGGGATAGGGGAAAAGGTTAAGTTACCGCCAGCCGTGTCGTTCATTCCCATCCGCCCTCTCAACACATCGTCGGCATCAGAGCTTGGGGGCCCGATCCCAGTGAGTATATATATATATATATATATATATATATATATATATATATATATATATATATATATATCATACCGGGCGTCCAGGTCCCCGGGCCCCAGGGCAGCCCACTTTTCCAAAACTCCCCCACCCCCCTCGCACCCGACTTTAGTCCCCGGCGCCGGCGAGCCTATTTGAACGCTCCAGGGCGCTCCCTGCGCCTCGGAAGCCCCCGTTGGCGCCCGCAGAGGGCGCCCAGAGGCCCCCAAGACAGCCCGAGAGCGCACCAAGCCGCCGAAGATGGCCCCGTGATGGCCCAAGAGGCCCCAAGAGGCCCCCAAGAGGCCCCAAGAGCGCTCCAAGAGAACCTCCAAGAAGGCCCCAGGAGGCCAACATAGTCGATTTTCATTGTGTTTTTCGCTGTTTTTGTTGCTGTTCGCGTTTTCGGGCTTCCGACACGCCAAGACTACGCAAAAAGCCTCCAACATCGTCCCAAGAGGGCCCAAGAGGCCCCCAAGATGCCCCCAAGATGCCCCCAAGCCGGCCCAAGAGAGCCCCCAAACGGCCCGAGAGAGGCCCAAGACGGCCCAAGAGGGCTTCAGGACTACCCCAAGAGGGACCCAAGAGGGGAAATACGAACCGGCATGTCGAGCTTTCCGCCCCAAGAGGCCCCCGAGAGGCCCCCAAGAGGCCCAAAAGAGCCCCCCAAACAGAACCTAAGCGCGCGCGAGGCGCGCGCGTGGTTCTAGTTCATGGTTCTCCTCGGGAACACAGAGCAGACAATCTGAAATCCCGCCGCCCCTGTCAAAAACAAATGCACAAAATGATCGCGAGGCGTCCTCGCATGATAAGATTCGCCGCAATCTGCACTTTGCATGGCGTTTGTCAGGGATTGTGTACCTGCACAGAGCAGTCAACATGAGCCCCCACCGCCGGCCCCTCTGCCCAAAACAAATGCAAAGTGATCGCTGGGGGCCCGCGCGTGCACCGGCATTTGCCATGCGTGTACTTTGCACTGTGTGTTGGCAGGGGTGGTGGGCCTGCACAGAGCAGACAATACGAGGTCACCTCCGCTGTCCCTGTCAAACACAGAGGCCGGGGCTGGACCTAAACGGTGTTTTTGGTGATGTCGTGGGCCGTTTTCGTTTCGAGTTCGTTTTGCGCTAAAGGTAAAGCGAAGACAGAACGAGGGAAAACGAAAACAACACGAAAACGAAAAACAGCGTTTAGGTTCAGCCCTGGCAGAGGCACGGTGCTCACGGGGCGCCTGCGCACGGTCCAGAGTTGCAGCAAAGTGTATTCGGTGTTGTTTGACGGGGGTCGCGGAGGGGTGCCCGCACTGTCCCCGGGTTCGCCGCCGGTCGGATGGGGGAGGGGGAATCTCTTGAGAAGGAACAGTAATACACCCCTCACCGAACGGTTGAGAACAGAGGATGCAAGAGGAAACGCTTCAAACAACCTCGGCCCCGAGGGCTGGTGGGATTGGTGATCATGATGATGACGACGATGATGATGGTGAATGTTGGGGAGGTCGTAAAGGGGCGCTGGCCTCGCACGCTTCCATGGCCCGACCGCGTGTGCGCTCGAGGATGAGGAAGAGGTGGAGGACGAGGAGGGGGAGGAGGAGGAGGGACCTCACCCGAGTCCAGGTCTGCCCCGCCGTCGTCAGCGAGGCGCGCCCAGGGACCCCGGGGGGGGCGGGGGCGGCTGGGAACCGCGGGGAAACGGCTGCACACCGACACCACATCGCCTGGGGGCATCGACGACTCACAGGGCCGACAGCGAAAGAGAATGACGGAGGATGATAGAGACAGTCATTTTTCAAATATTCAGTTTGTGGGGAAGCTTCTGCACACCGAGGGCGGACGTCCTCCCCGTGAGGCGCCGACAACGTCTCAGGGACGGGAACAGTAATTACGGAGGAAGGTGGGATGACTTCGAACAGTAAAGAAAGGCGAGACCTGCCCCCGCCGCCCACCAGTGAGGACTGATACGGTTTAACTTGTAGGTGTTCAATTCGCTCGTGCCCGCGCGCGGTCCCTCAACCCCCACGGTAGTTTTGGGCCCTTCAGGACGTGGATTGGTAGGGTCATGGGTTCACATGGGTCTGCCTAGACTCGACAAAGGATGAATGGCATGAACATGGAGGTCCGAGCGGATCTCTTGGATCGGCATTGAGCCCCCCTGGCGGCGCCTTCGGCGCCGCGCCGCCCTCGCGCTCCGCGCGCGAGGGGGCGGCACAGCGCCGACTTAAGAAATCCGCGCGGACCTCCGGGAAACAATGTTTACGCCCGTGTTTGTTTGAAGAAAAGGTGAACACGGGTCGATGTTGAGCAGAAGAATCGGGCGAAGAGAACTATGCGCATGCACCGGTCCTGGCCAGGCCCATCCTTGGCCCCAGGATCGGTGCATGTGCCTTCCTGGCCAAGGCAGGAGGGCGTATGCACCGATCTTGGGCTCAGGATGGACGTGGCCAAAATCGGTATATGTGCATGGTTCTTTTTCGTCCAAAGAAGGGCCCAGACCCCTCCTGGGCATCACGCGGACGTGTGCATTTGTTTCGGCGAGGACCATCGAGGAGGATCCGAGATTTATCTGGCGCGCGCGCGAAACCCAAAAAAACGCACGGGGAACGAACGTCCGAGCGATGGCGAGCCCCTGGCATCCCGACGAAAATGGCTCGCGCTCGCGCTCCTCCAGATTGTAGCCGGGCTTGAGCCGGAGCTCGGAGGGCTGGCCCCTCGGGGCGAGCGGAGCCGGGGCGGCAACCCCAACTCAGTGCAGAGACGGAACAGCGAGCGCGGCAGCAGAGACGAAACTTCCGACGCGGCAGCCGAGCCAAGATCGGGCGTTGGCAGAACTGGGTTTAGTGGGACCTGGTTTGGTGATGTTCGCTGGGTGACGCCCCCCCCCCGCCCGTTCCACTAACCGGATCTGCTGTCACCCGAAAAAACACCAGCTACGGCAAACCTGGTTTAGTGATTCTGGCAAATTTCGGGTCTCCTGGGCCCTACTACTAACCCGGTCCCCTTACCTGGGGTCCTGGCTAAACCCGACAAGAGGGGCATCCTGGTGCTGGAGCGGTACATCCGGCGCGGCAGCCGAGACGAGCGAGGTACAGCAACACGGCGGGCGGGGGCCGCCCCTCGAGAGGCGCTCTTTGCAGAAGCAAGCAAAAGCGGGTGCGACGGCCGGTTTCGAATGGTATGCGACCTTTGGTAGGCCGTGTCGGCCTAGGGTTAAGTCGGGCTTGTCCCTCTACAGGGGGAATATTCAAAAATAGTCTAAACATAGTCTGGGTTTTTTTTAAGTATTTTTTTGAGTATTTGGAGGCATCGTTTTAGTATTGTTTGAGTATTGTTGTTGTTTGTCCAAAATCCCCCTGTAGGGGGACAGGCCCGACCTAAGCCTAGGGACCAAGAGGAAACCATGTGGGGTGAACAGCCAGGCCTGGGGAGGAGGAGGAGGAGGAGGAGGAGGAGGAGGAGGAGGAAGGACCACTGCAAACCCAAGACTCATCAACGATGTTGCGATAAACCCTCCAAGTTTGTCCCTGCACATTTTCATTTTCACTGCGGGCGCGGCGCAGGTGTCGTGCTGCAATACAGGCGCCCAGGCTGAGGGGGCGCGCTGGCTGGCGGGGGAAGGAGTGGTGGGTCGGTTGGTGATAGGGACCGAAGGCGGACCGATGCCGTGTCGAAATGAAGGGGTTAGGACGGAGGGGGCGGGCTGGCGACTTCGGAGAAGGGCCGAGGGCGGACCGCCGTGTCGAAACAAAGTGGCCGGGGTCCTCGGCACACTGCAAGAGACTAAAGGCTCGTGTCGAGCAGGGCAATGATCCCAAGAGGGTACGCGATGGATGGAAAAGCATGGCTCAGAAGGCCACGGTAGATCATATAATGGCATAGCATGGTGCAGCATTGCGTGGTGCAGCATTGCATCACAAAACATAGTAACGCAAAGCATGGCATCGCACAGCGGTGCACAACACAGCATTGCATTGCATGCCGTGGTATGGCATTGGATGACTTGGAGGGTAAGTGGCCCGTCTACGAGAGGACAGGGCCTGTCCAGAATGCCGGCTCCATGTCCTTCGCACCTGTGCCTGCCCGATGTAGGCGTTTTCGACTGCCAAGTGCCGTCCGGAGGCGCGGGAACGAGGCCAGCGCCGCAGCGGAAGCACGATTTTGAATGACCGAAGCGCGGAAATGAAGGCGGCGCTGCAGCGGGAGCACCCTTTTGGAAGAGTCAGAAACGACTGGACTGAAAACACATCGGAAAGACCAAGTAATGAAATCTTGTGTGTAAGAGACAGTATACGCGGAGAGGGCGGGGACACCCTCCAGACAGAGTCAGGGGAGAGAGGGAAGTAGTATGCATATAAAGTAATGGTAAAGGGTTGCTGCGGGCCGGGGGAAGGGTGGGCGCGGTGCTGGCGCCGTGCCGTGTCGGCGTAAAGTGGTCGTGGCGGACGGGGCGAGGAGAAGCTGGGCTGGCTGCGGGGGGCGAGGAGGAGGAGCTGGGCTGGGTGCGGCGGGGGAAGAGGGGGGCGCGGTGCGTGGAGCCGGTGCTGTGCCGTGCCGCCGTGCCGGAATAAGGTAGTCGGGGCGGTGGGGGCGCGCTGGCTGGGGGACGGGGAGGAGCTGGGCTGGCTGCGGGAGGGCAGGGGGGCGAGGAGGAGCTGAGATTGCTCATCGCCGGTGCCGTGCCGTGCAAGGCCAGGACGGCGGGAAAGGGGGAGGGGGAGGCTAGGGCCAGGGTAGGGGAACCAGGGGAGGGCACGACGACACTACAAGACGACAGGACACGACGACGGCGAAAGTACAGAGGTTCAAGCTTCAGGACCCAACTGTGCAGGGTGATGCAGGATCCATCTCGCGGGGGTTGGCAGGTCCTCTCCAACCTGGAGCAGTTCAGCCATGCGTCGGACTTCTTCAGCATCTGCGTGGGCTCGGTGGCGCGGCAGGCCCGCCACCTGCCCGCCTTCCGCCTCGCTCTTGGAGGGGGTCCCCTTCCGCCTCCCTGTCGTTCTCCATGGTCCATGGAGGGGGCGGATGATCGGATCGACTCGGCAGGAGGGAACGTCGAAAACCTCAGCGCTGTCTGGGTCCCCTCTCGGTGGCCACAAGGCTGGATAGCATGAGCTCTCACAACACAAATTGAGCAGTATTGTTATCCCGTTCTGCCTGGCGGCCAGACAAAACGACCGCGGCCACAGCCATCCACCTTGGAGATGGCGGAGTAGGGAGGAGGGAGGAGTATGGTTCGACTTGTTTGGGGCATCTGTAGAGGCCTCTTGAAGGGGAATATACAATAGGGGAGGGGGGAGGTAGGTACACAGGACAACCGTCAGGCTTTCAGACATAGACGCCTGACACAGCTGGTGTGGGCGCCCGATATGGCACGCATACACCTTAGAACGCGTCTGACTTGGTGAGTTAGTCATTGGTTCAAATGCGTGGCGGTTGTTTCGGGCTTTTGTTTTTGCGTTATGGAGTGTCAATGAAAGGTGAATGGAGAGAGCATGCAGTAAGAAGTTTGGTGGCAGTTGATTGATAGCAGGCAACATGTAGAGTGAGAATGGAGAAACGATCGATAATGGAGTGATGATGGAGTGCGAGTTGAGTCAGAATGGGTCGAACATGGAGGGAGAATGGAGCGAGCGTGGAAGCTTCTTGCCCGTCTGTTTTATACACCGCTTTTGTGGCCAGCATGCTGGACGATCTCAGACATTTTCGGCCTAGCACTTTGGCGGCGCCTCGGGAAGGTTCCAGGGCGGTAGCGGGCAGGCAGCTGCATCCTCCCCCCCTCCGACTTTGAGTGGGGGCTCCGAGGGACATCCCGCCAGCACCGACAACTACTTCCCCTGGTTGCCAGCTTCACGTTCTATTTGTTTTTTGTTGTTTTTGTTACGTTGTTTTGGGAGCACTTGGCTCCTTATTGTGGCCGTCTTGGGGCCTCTCGGTATGCTGGAGGGTCTAATGAATCATCTTCCGTTATCTTGAGCCATTTTGGAAGTTATCTTGGGGCGTCGAGGGTAATCTCGGAGCCATGTGGGGCCCAAAACAACTCGGACGCATCGCCCCCCCCCTTTTCCAATACACACACAAACAAGCAATAATCAAGGGAGGGGGGAGGGGGAGCAGTCAAATCCTCAGCGAGTATGCCGCAAGTAGTGGTGCTCACTCATTCGCCCTCCCTGTACATAACGTAGCCCCCGAGTCTTAGCGACCATCGCCGCACATGCCAGGCGCGCAACCCGCACCAGGCGCACCACATTGAGCAGTATGTCGACCCCCCACCATCCCTGTCTAAAGCCAGTGCAATGTGACGGCCGGTTCGCAAGCATTGTTTACTATGTGTAGGCGTGCACCCGCAATCACTTTTCATGTGTTTTCGACGTTGATGGTGGGATATTTCACAGCAGGCAGTATGCCGCCCCCCCCGCCGTCCCTTGCAACGTGATCTCCGTTGTGTGCTCTGTGAAAAATCTGTTGGCTTGCACGCAGCAGGGCCCATATGTCAGAACCAATATGAAGTGATCGCGGGGCGTCCGCGCATTATTCAGACTGTAGATGATGGTTCAATGTGCACTCTGTAATTCTTTCTTTGGGACGGAACGTGCCGGCCCCCCGCAGTGCCTGTCAAGGGCCAAATCAAAGTGATCGCGCAGCGTCCGAGCATGATCCGGATGTTGGTGCAACGTGCACCTTGTATGGTTTTGGGGGGCCCGAGAGGCACTGCACGCAGCAGGCAATGTGCCGGCCCCCCGTTGTCCTTGTCAAGTGGGACTTGCGGGAATGGCCAGACCAAGTTCCCTACAGAATGCTGGCGCTGCTGATTCCCTCCCCCTTTCGTTCTCGTCCTCATCATTCACCCTCATCCCTTCCGTGTCCTGTCCCCATCCTCATCCTCCCCGTTCCGTCCGCCGTGTCGTCCTCCCAGACATGTGATGCCTTGTTTTTTTCCATACGCGGCCCCCAGAAGTCCCGCTCGTTTCCCAAGGGCCGGCTTTTCATCCTGAGTCATTCCTTGACGGTGCCGTGGCCCGGCGAGGACCTAGGGAGGCTGAAAACAGCCAAACGCCTCCCGTGGTGTTTTTGGTTGTTATTCTTCCTCCCTTCCTCCTCCTCCTCCTCCTCCTCCTCCTCCTCCTCCTCCTCCTCCTCCTCCGCCTTGCCCTCCGCCTCCTCCTCCTTCTCCTCCTCCCTCCTCCTCCTCCTCCTCCTCCTCCTCCTCTCCTCCCCTCCCTCCCCCCCTCCCCCTCCTCCCCCCTCCTCCTCCCCCTCCTCCCCTCCTCCCCCCCTCCTCCCCCTCCTCCCCTCCTCCTCCCCTCCTCCCCCTCCCCCCTCTCCCTCCCCCCTCCTCCCCCTCCTCCCCCTCCTCCCCCTTCTCCCCCTCCCCCCTCCCCCTCCTCCCGCTCCTCCTCCTCCTCCTCCTCTCCTCCTCCTCCTCCTCCTCCTCCTGCCCTCCTCCTCCTCCCTCTCCTCCCTGTTCTTGCCCGCCTGCCTGCGTCCCCGCGCCCCCCCCCCTGCTCTGGCGCCCCAGCTCGACCACAGCAGCCTGGGCGACATCCGCAAGGCCGCGGGGGCCGAACCGGGGGGACCGGGTCGCCAGATTGGGGCAGGGCGAGGGAGGCTCGAGGTTCGACCTCGATGGTCGACCTTCGATCCTCCTCCTCCTCCTCCTCCTCCTCCTCCTCCTCCTCGTCCTCCTCCTCGTCCTCCTCCTCCCGCTCGTCCTCCTCCTGGCTTCGTCCTCCTCCTCGTCCTCGTCCCGTCCTCCTCCTGCTCCTCCGCCTCCCCTCCTCCGCCTCCTCCTCCGCCTCCTTCCTCCTCCCCAGGTTCGAGGCTCGAGCTTCGAGTTTCGCTCTCTGGAGATTTTCGATTGTCCTGGGGCGCCTTCGCGGCCACGGCTTGACCCGCCTCCAGATTCTGGGCAGAGCACACCCGCGGGAAAGATCCGAGGATCGGTTTTTGACCCCTGACCGAGGGGGGGACGCAGTTTCGAGGTTCGAGGTTTTTGCACACACACACACACATGTTCGTCGCTTCCCCGGGGCTTCTCCAGTCTCTGGATGCTCTCCAGCAGGTGCGCCCCGCCGAGAGGCGTTCCCGGTGTGCCCAGATCGTCCCGAACGGCCACTGGAGTCGGGGGCGGCAAAGAGGGGGGTGATGACTAGGGGGGGGGGATATCATGGCGGGGGCCATTTCCCCAGATCTCATGGCGCCTCTTCTTATTTCATTACGTTCCTGGTCCCCCCGCTGGGCCGCGCACATGCCGCCGGTCATGATTTGCCCCCCCCTCCCCTCTTGGACACCCCCCTCTTGGCCGCTCCCGATGGAGAGCCGAGTTATGACCTGGAAGCCAAGGGGCAACGGTAGGGTGGGATAGGCTTGGGCGGGGATACGTCGATCCCACGGTCGCCCGTTCATCGCCGATAAAGACCCCCATACCCCGCTCCATCCAGGACCTTGCGTATTCGCAATCAGGGGCCAGTCGCCGACCCATTGGCGATGTGTCGCCGATTCAGGCTCGATGTTTCCCTTTCCGAGCCGGTCTCCCCCTGGTCGTCGAGGGCAGGAGGCGCACCACCACCACCGCCGTCCGTAGGAGATTCAGGACGAGCTGCTCTGCGGGATGTAGGTGTGCACCATGTCCCGCGAGAGCGCCGGACACGATGTGCACCACCACCCCTGACCACCCTCCGCCTCCATCCTCCAGGTGGTGTTGGTGGTGCGGCTCCTTCTCCCTGTCGTCGCTGCCCCGCGGGGGAGTTGGGCGGGAGCGCGCGGGCAGGCAGGGCTCCGGCGTAGTGTGCCTCTTTTCCTGGGGCATTCTGGGGCGCGCCTCCGGGCCCTCGGCAGGAAGCGGCCTTTCGGGGTCTTCAGGGGTCTCGAAGATCTGCGAGGCCTGCGGATGTTTTCGGGGGCCCCAGAGGAGGAGGAGGAGGAGGAGGAGGAGGAGGAGGAGGAGGAGGAGGAGGAGGAGGAGGAGGAGGAGGAGGAGGAAGAGGAGGGAGGAGGAGGAGGAGGATATGAGGGAGGAGGAGAAGGGATGGGAGATGATGAGGGGGAGGATCAAGGATGAAGGGGAGGACGCGCACCCTGCTGAGAGGGACAGGTGACTTGGCATCTCGCGCGCCCGTGGGATGCGGCCAAGTCTCAGGCCCTGGGTTGGGACACGTCTTCACGAGGGGAAGGCGTCCAGCGCGAAGCATCCACCCAGGAGGGGTCTGCAACACCCCGACTTAGGGAGGTAGCTGTGCTGCGCAATGGATTGCTGGAGCTCCTGCATCGCCTCAGCGACCTTGCCACTATGCTGGACCACGTCGTATTTCTCAACGTCTTTCAGCTGAACGTCGTTCCGAAAACGTCGTGCTGTTCATCGAGGTACTGGTCAACGACGTGCTGTGGCTCAGTGTCGCACTGCACGTCGGCGTGTTCAACGTCACAGTGCTCAGCAACGTCCCACTGGCGTATCGCGACCACGTCGTGCTTCTCAACGTCGTTCAGCTAAATGTCGTTCTGAACAATTTCGTACTGCTCAGCATCGTAATGGTCGACGACGTGCTGTGGCTCAGTGTCGCACTGCACGGTGGCGTGTTCAACGTCGCATGCGCAGCAATGTCCCACTGACGTATCTTGCCACTTTGATTCAGCGGGTCGCTTACTTCGCCAGCGACCGGGTCCTCGAACTTGGTTGCGTTTTGCGGGTCTATTACTTCGCCAGCGGTCAAGTTCCCGATCTTGGTATCGGCATCTATAGCAGAATCGTCAGTCTCCCCAAATTTGTGAGGCTGCTCCGCAATTTTTGTTTTGACCTGCACGGCCTGCTCCACGTCGTCGCGCAAGACGGCGGGCGTAGGTACATGATGTAAGTCTTGATGCGATTGAACTGTGTGAGCCCGATTACCGCCATCATGCGGATCAGCAGCAAGACAGATTGGCAGATCCTCCGCAACTTCGACGCGATTAACACCTTTTTGTTGTCCTTGACCTCCGCGGCCCTCTCATCCAGCACCTGTTCCTGCATAGGGGGCTGCGCCACGTCGAAGGCGCGGAGCAACACGGTGGCCTGCTCGAAGCGCGGCAGCTCCTGCAGCGCAGCGCGGACGTCGTCATCATCCGCGGCGTCCACTCCATGGGGCTGCGGTGGGGGCACGGACGCCCCGGTTTGGGGCGAGTGCAGGGCCCACTTTGCATTGGCACCCAGCCTCGCGCAGCTCCTCGGCCTCCTGCTTCAAGCCCACGAGCTCTACAGCGGCAGCCATTGCTGTACCTGGACGCCCTCGGCCGAAGGCCGAGAAAAGTAAAACGGGGTTCAGAAGAAACCGCCCAAGAGCATCCTCGTGGCCGCCGTTGGTGCGGATTCAATTGTGAAAAGCCCCGGCAGGGCAGCTCGCAGCCGAGGAGGAGACCGCAGCGGCAGCCAGGTCCACGACTAAGGTGGAGTGCCCGCCAACGATGTCCCTGCCTCCCAGAGGGAGCTCGTGGACGGGCAGAAGACGACTGGCCTCTGGGCGGCAGCCTGCGCCCAGGCGACGCCCACCTCGCTGCGCCAGGCCTCCCAGAGCCGCCGCGCCAGCGTGCGGGCCGATGCTGCCGCCCACCTCGCGCCACTCGGAGGAGCTGCCACTTGCGGCCGCGTGCCCGCGCGCCGCGCGGGCGCGCGCTGGCGGAGGCCTCCCGTACGCCGGGCTGCTTGAGCCAAAAGGGTTACGGGAGGATGAAGAGGGCGAAGGGGACGAGGGGTAGAGGGCGGGGGATGTGTGGCGATGGTTGCAGGCGTGGAGCGGGGAAGCTTCGACGGAGGACGAGGAGCTCACGCAGACGCTGGGCATCGGTGTGAGAGCGAGGGGGCTGGCCCAGGACGGGCGGTGCGGCGTTGTGCTCGCCTTGTCAGTGTTGTGTCACCCCTTCCTCTTCGTGTTCCTTCTCTTCTCCCCCCTCGGCTGTCGGCAACTGTTATGTCCACTTCGATACGGGTCAGCAAGGGGCTGGCGCCTAAATGCGGCATGGAGTTCCACAGATGTTGATTGCAGAGGTGGGTCAGATCATTGTTTTCGCGAAGCCCGTGAGAGGAAAGGTCGAAAGGTTCCCCTGCCCCCCCACTCTCCCGCACCTGTTCCGCCTGCCCCTCGCAAAAAGAGGGACAGGCTGGGCCCCATGGTGCGTTATGGTGACTCCAGAGAAGTGTTGATTCAGGTGGTACGTGTGTATGTGCCGATTCAGGGGTTACTTTCGATGCCGTTCAATAAAGGAGATGTGTATTCGCTCGCCGCATCGATGTTCACCCAGGGACGCGTTATCTATATGCGCTTACGTACTTATAGACGTAGTCATACGCATCTTTGCATCGATATGTGTGTACGCACACATGTACACAAGTATGCATGTTGCCAGCAAAAAATGCAAGTACGTACATCTGTATGCATCATGGAAGTATGCAAGTACGTACATGTGTATGCAAGTACGTACATCTGTATACAAGTATGCATCATGGAAATCAACATACGTAGGCAATTAGCAAAACATATTCGAAGCCGCGCTGTCGACCTCAATTCGTCGTTGTATCGTGTGCGGGCGTCAACAGGACCTTCAACACATGCTGCATCTGCTTCGAGCAGATGTTCCTGTTGGCATGATATCCTGTTGTCTTCTGGCTGCGCGCGCATCTGTCAGCCTACCAGTGTAGCGTAAACTCAGCATTCTTATTACATGTTCCCATTCCCCGAGCGGTCTTGCACCGCTCTCAAGAGATAGAGGGAGAGAAAAACAACATAGAGATGCACAAACACATTGACCATACCTCAGTCGTCGTCGTAATGTGTTCAGACCGCGACCCTTCGGCTCCGGATCCAGATAGCTCATTGTTTTTCCTTCGGTCCAGAAATGGTCCCCTAATCGCCGAAAGCGATAAGAAATCAGTGCACGAGTTTGCCGGGTCGTCAAAGGTTTTGGTATGAGCTCAGTTAGTAAACATCTCCTCCTGTCGACAAGGTGTTCGGCTTGCTCGACACCAACGCCGATGGAGTTCTGGACGTCGAGGAGGCGAGCGTTCTCTGATTAGCCGCCGCAAGGAGGAGGAGGAGGAAGAGGAGGAGGAGGAGGAGGAGGAGGAGGAGGAGGAGGAGGAGGAGGAGGAGGGGGGGCGTACGAAAGGAAGCGGCGACCACTCCTTGTCGTAGTTTGTTCTTTACAATGCTGGTGTTCGTTGGCGATTCTGGTTCTCAGAGGCGCTTCTGTACTTCAGGGCAATCAATCCAACCCAATACGGGGCGGAAAATTATGGACGCTTCGCGTATCCCCAGCATTTTGGTTCATTTTGTTCCTCGCATGTGCATTCCGTCGTTGCCTTTTGGCCCGCTGGCAATTATCTCGCTTGTTGCCCCAAGCTTGTTTCGACCCGCTCTCTGGAATCGTCCTTGGAGCCGCAGATCAAAAAGTATCCCCAGCAACACACGATGCTGTTGTGTCGCCTACGGCACGGATGTCGTCCTTGAGTGCCTGTCGGACCTGCTCGTTTTTGTCGGGCCTTATGCCGACTCACACCGGGTGATCGATCTCTGCGTGTCCATGGTCGCGCCGCCGCGCCATTTTGGCTGCGCCTACTTGATGGTCGCCACCGGGATTTCCACGCCACCGGGTTGGGAGTGCCGTTTTTGTCCTCCTTCTGAGTGGCTGCCCGCGCGCTCGCTTCGCTGCCCCTCTCTTTTCTTGCTGCCTAGTCGCGGCCCGGCTATTGTTCGGACGGCTTTCGACTTGCTTCGCGAGCCCGCATACCAAAAACATATCCCCAGCAACCCTATCTAAAACGATGCCAAGGCAAGTTGCCCTAATGAGGGACGTGTCGCAACGTGCAGTGGAACAAGGAGTGACGGGAGATTATACATGCCTTCGTGGTTGTCTCCACGGGGAAAGAGTAGAGAAGGTGTTGGAGGATCAGGGAGGATAGAAATACTGATGCTTATGATGAGGCTGCTGAGGATGATGATGATGGTGAATGTGATGGTGATGGTGATGGTGTTAATCATGGTGTTGGTGATGTTGCTGATGATGCATACGACGCTGATTGTGACGATGACGATGATGATGCCGACGAAAACCAAACCAATGACAACGACTACCATGATGATGATGTTGATGGTGATGGTCGTGATGAGGACGAGGATGATGATAGTGATACCGGTGATGATAATGATGATGAGATGGATGGCGATGGCGATGGTGATGGGGGTGATGAATTTGCTGCTGCTGATGTTGATGATTGTGATGCGGATGATAATGATGATCTTGTGATGATGATGGTGATGAGTGTGAAGATGATGAACCTGATGAATACGACTATCCTGCTGATGATGATGTTATTGATGATGATGGTGTTGCTAGTGCTGGTGATGCTGCTGCTGGCGATTATCATGATGGTCCTGTTTGGCCTTTCTCCTCTCTCTCCTCCCTTTTTTCTCCTTGCCCTCCGATGTTACTCACTACCACCGCCAGGGCCACGATGATGATGATGATTCTGATGATGATGATGATGATGATGATGAGGATGAAGATGATGCTGATGATGCCGATGCTGGGGATGCTGATGATACTGATGGTGACGATGATGGTGACGATGACGATGATGATGCTGTTGCTGATGATGATGATGATGCTGATGATGATGCTCATGATGATGATGACGATGACGTTGACGATGATGGTGATGATGATGAAGATGATGCCGATGATGATTATGATGATGATGTTGGTGATGATGCTGATGATGATGATGATGATGATGATGATGGCGGCGCTGACGGTGATGATGCTGATGAAAATGATGTTGTTTATGATGGTGATGATGATGGTGATGATGACGATGGCGTTGACGTTGACGATGACGATGACGATGATGCTGACGATGGGAAGACAAGATGGAGGAGGAGGAGGAGGAGGAGGACGACGAGGAGGAGGAGGACGGGGAGGAGGAGCAGCAGCAACAGTAGCAACAACAGAGAGGAGGGCGAGAAGGCGGATCAGAGGAAAACGATCACAGGAAGAGGGGCGGCAATGGTGACTTCAGAGTTTTCTTGGCGCTCCCTGGACACTCCGGAGGTGATGGCTTGGGGTGGAGGGGGGAATGGGGGGGGGGAAGGTCAAGCTAGGTGCGCTTGCGTCATATCTGACGTCCTACCCCTCCCTCCCATCCCTTACCATGGCGCTGATTTTCTCTATCCGCGGACGCGTGTCGTAGCGGACCTGTGGCTCCGCGCGCGCGTGCGTAGTGGGTGGTGGTGCACGTGCGTGCGTGCGTGCGTGTGTGCGTGGTTGTGTGGTGGTGGTGGTGGTGGTGGTGGTGTGGTGGTGGTGGTGGTGGTGGTGGTGGTGGTGGTGGTGGTAGTGTGCTGGTGCTGGTGGGTGGTGGTGGTGGTGCTGGTGGTGGTGTGATGGTGGTGGTTGGTGGTGGTGGTGGTGGTGGTGGTGGGTGGTGGTGGTGGTGGTGGTGGTGGTGGTGGTGGTGCGGCGCGTGGTGGCGGGCGGATGGGCGCGCGAGAAAGAGGCCCGCGCTGGGGCGAGAACGCCATCCTGAACGACGGAGGCCAAACACCGATCCGAAAATGAGGCCCACGCTGCAGCGGGAGCACGATTCGGAACGATTCGGGAGCAGAAATGAGGCCGACGCCTCAGCGAGAGCAGCATTTTGGAACAAAAACGCAGGCGAAAACCCGTTTCCCGGGAATTCTGTGTGTAAAAAAACAGTACGCGGGGGGGGGTCGGCGATCACCCAACCGCCATCAGGGGAAGAGGGAGAGTATTTTCAGATTGAGTAATTGTGGAGGGGGTGTGACCCGGGAGTGGAGGGGGGGTGGGAGGGAGGGGTGGAGGGGGGCGGGGGTGGAGGGGGGTGAGGGAGTGTGGTAGGGAGGGGGAGGGTCTGGTGGAGGGGGTGGGGAGAGACCCCAGCGGAGAGGCTAGGGAGAGGGTTTTGATTCAGGAAGCTGGGAGAGGACACGCTCTAAATCACCTCCGCCCACAGGGCTGGTGGGATCAGTCTAGGAGGATGGTCCAAAGTGGCGGGATCTAGCGAGTCGTCGAAAAACACACATCTTCGGGGGTCTGGCTGGGGAAGAGGGAGCATGCAGAAGGATGACGAGGGGGGACGAGGGAGCAGAAGGTGATAGGGGATGTCCTGTGACCTCGCTGGGTGGGCCTGGGCCTCCGAACGACGGCGGTGGCGGTGATGTCGAAGGGGAACCCTTCTCGTCCGAATTCTCTGTCTTGTGCCTCTAGCGGTGCGCTTTCAGGCCAGAGCGCGCTCCGACACCAGCACGTCTTTTCCGTCCAGGCTGCGCCATGCAATTCAGGTACTCTGATCGCTGGCTGCTGGACTTTGGTCTCAAGGTTCTCCACCTCCTCCTCCTCCTCCGCCTCCTCCTGTCGCTCCGCCTCCTCGTTCTCGTCCTCGTCCTTCTGCTTTGCCTCCTCACTCTCCGTTTTCTTCATGATTCATCCCCCCTTCTCTGCCTCCACCTCTTGTCCCCTCCCTTCTCGTGCTCCCTGGGCGGGGATGAGTCGGATGTGCTTCCCCATTGGCATTCCTTCTGTCAGTCTCGCTCTCTTCCCTTCTCTCTTTCTCTCTCTCTCTCTCGTTCGCCCTCTCTTCCCCCGTTTACCTCAATCTCTGTCTCGCTCTCGCTCGCTCTCTCTCTCTCTCTCTCTCTCTTTCTGAGCAGCCGAAAAGACGGCCACCAGTGGAACCACTGGGTGGGGGTGCAGGTGCCTGGGGAAAGGGACGCGAACCCCCCCACTTACGTTAGTTTCCTGTTGTGCCGACGCGGCAGCGATCCCGCCGCGGGCGTTCAAGTTTGAATTCCGCCAGTGATCCAGAATCGGCCAACATGGAGCGATCTGGCGATCGAACGGCCGCCGGTCGTTCAAGGATGAACGATCAGTGAAACAACAGCACTGGGGTCGTCACGACACGAACCTGCCGTACCGGCCTTGGTTGCGCCCCCGCGGGAGGCGCGAGCCGCTGCATTACCGAAACGTCCGTCACGGGCCGTAGTGACCTTGCCGCTCTCCTCGCTGATGCCTCGCGCACGGTGCCTGTGAGCGCTCGGCCGCGTCTCACCCCCGCCAGTGTCACAGTTCCTCGCGGTACGCACAGCTCCGCCATCCACAGCCGATTGGGCGTCCCATTCATGGCCAGCCTTTCCTTCGCCGACCGTTGGTAGTGGCTTGAGCGCCAATGGTAGGCTGACCCTGCCCGCGTCACCGAGGCTCACCGCCGTCCGACGCACCTGCAGGCTGCTTGGGAAGCCGTGCGCCACGCGCACCGCTCCGCAGTCACCCAGACCTCGGCTCTGCCTGTCACCGTTTCTGCAGCGGCCAGCAGTCCCCCACCCCACGTTCTAAGCTACAGCCCCGTCCACCTGCCTGGCAGCCAGGCTCCTGGTCGCTTCAGGGCACGCGGTGAGACTAACCTCCGCGCCATCTTCCCCGCGGGGCTACGTTTTATTGTTGCCTGCAGCGCGCTCCATGCCGCACCCCTTTCACTGCTCGTGAGAGTTCTCTTGGGGGTCTATTGGACGTCAGGCCGTCTTCGAACCATCATGGGCCGTCTTGGAGCGATCTGGAACCGTCTCGAGGCTGCCTTGGACTGTGTTGGGCGCCTTTGCACGCTCTCTTAAGCCGTCTCGTTCAATGTGCCGTCTTGGGGCCCCCACGGGCCGCTTGCAGCCGTCAGGCGGGGGGGGGGCCTGGAGGGACTACAGTGAGGTTTGCACCAGACCCTGGCGCATCCTGCCGAGCACCTCGACACATATTCTCGCACCGTCCAGCCCGCAGGCGGGAGCGGCCGCATCTGGAGGGCTGCGCCCTCTGCCGCGGGCCTCCCATATGCTGGGCCGTCTTGAGGCTCCATTGGGCCACCGTGTTGGGGCCATCTTGGGGCCTCTCGGGGACACCACGGGGCCTCTGGGGCCACGTTCGAGCCATCGTGTGCAATCCTGGGGGCCTGGGGCAGCGCTGGGCCATCCCAGACGATTCGGGCGGCATCCTGT